GGAAAGGCGATGGAGACCCATGTCTCTACAAGTCCTGTGGGCCGGACAGGTGACTTTCCATAAACCAGGGCAGCATGGCAGTGCTGCTGATCGCTGATGCGGAACAGACCCGTGGGGTTCAAATCCTAACTCCACTGTCAAATCCTGTCATCTTTGACAGTGACACACCCTCCACCACCACAACGGTTTCTTCGTCTGGAAAATGGGCAAAGTAATAGAACTGACCTCACCAGTGAGGCTTTGAGGGGCTGCCTGGCACACGCAAGGGCCGTACACACCTCAGGGGGTTTCAAAGTCTACGTGAACCATACACTGGTTCACATACCTGGAGATATCCGTGATCATCATGACTGGAGGTGCTCCTGGCATTGAGTGAGCAGAAGGGATGCTGCTCGACAGCCACAGTGCCTAGGATGGCCCCCCCAGACTGACGCTGCCCAATGTCAGCAGAGCCTAGGGAAGAACTGGTCTACTAACAGCTCTGTGTGGTTAAACTAAAATGTTGCCCTTCACTGCCTATGGCTGGAATTATATCAATTCATGTGCTGCCATCCTGGCCCTCCCCACTGAAATTCTCCAAGCCACTGATTAATTAAATAAACAAAACCAAAATGCCTCACACAGTAAAAAGAAACCCTTGAAATTTAGGGTCAGTAACAGTGGATGGGCCATGGAAACCTGCTGCTCTAGGTCAAGTTCCCTTTTTTACCAACTAGGAGACCAGGTCCACAGTCAGGCAACTACTCAAGGTCTCACTCAGTTGTAAGAATCCGGAACATGACTCCATGGTGAGATGGAGGCTGTGGGGACCCCCTCTGGCCCCACCTCACCTTGTTGATGTCGATGGTCTCCAGGGCCAGCTGCCGGAGGCGCTCCCGCCGGTCCCTGTTGCTCTCGGAAGAGGAGGCCACGCCCCCACTCCCGGTCTTGCCCCCAGGGCGATGCTGGAAGTCCATGGTGAAGGCCTTGGGGCTTTACTGGACTGGAGGGATACCTGAAGGAGGGGGGGGCAAAGGGGAGAGGTGGTAAACGTTGCTAAATGTGGCCAGCTATCACAGGGGGACTCAAGCCTAACAGGGGGAGCATGTGAAGAGACCTCGCCCCGACCCCTGGTTTTCACCCCTCACTCCTGCCACACACTCCCCCTACATACCAACACCACGTGTAAAAACCCCCATGGGACCAGTCTTCAGTCTCCGTGGGACTGGAACAAGCCCAGTGCCTTCAGAATAAGCACCTGAATTGCTAGTGGCAGGCTGGTGTTGAGAAAGTACCCACTGAATCTGGCTCAGGGAAATCCAAACCAAGCAAATACTTAACTGCTCACCTAGAATAAAAACCAGTAACTACTGGAAACCAAACTGCTGGTTACTCAAGCCCACGGTACACGTCACCCCTCCCCTGGCAGCACCCCCTCCCCGAATGAACTGAGAACTCACACCCCGAGAGGAAGGTCCCTGCCCCGGTACCCTCGGCTCCCCAGAGAAATCAGTTTTATATTCAGAAAAAATGGAATGAGGGGTCTCTCAGCTGAGAGAGGCAGACACGAGAGGCTGGGGGTGAGGGCCAGGTTGAAAAGAGGGGAGTCCATCAGAACCAGCCCACTGACCAGCAGGCAGACTGTCCTTCCTCCCACTGTGTCCAGAGGGCAGGCAGCCCCGCCTGCAGGCCCCCAGCCCAGGGCACCTTAGAAGACGTTCCCGGGGAAAGAACGCCAGGGAAAGTATTCTCAGACACTGACAGCTGGGGGTTCCCCATGCCAGGCCCACTGAGCAGTGAGACCCACAAGATAAGCATGGCTCTCCCACACAGAGCCGGTGACTTCACGTAACAGACACAAAGAATCAAACATACCCAAGGAACAAGACACCTACTGGAAACCCCAACAAGATGACAGCATCCTCCTGAATTATCAGAGATGTTACTGTACCACGAAACCTGAACAGGATGCCAAAGGTCAGCCCAGTGAGTGAACCCTTGGAAAGTAGAGACTGGATGATCCAAATAATTGAAAACGAGCGCTTGAAGGTCAATGAAATCTCTCAAAAAGGAGAACAAAAAAATGAAAAGAGAGGAGCACAGTAAAAGCCTAGATGGGATTCCAGAGTGAAAACAGAAAGAGAGAGTATTATCAAAGAAGTAAAAGAAAATGCCCCAGGACTAAAAGGATCTAATTCTTCCCACACGACAAAAAGACCTTCTTCAATAAATGGCTCATGAAACGTAAACCACCGAGGAAACCCCGTTTCTATTAGCCAAAGAAACAACAGGTCAGAAAGCAGCGTGGGGCCAGCATTATTCACCAAGGTAGAGGCCGGCTGTCAGAACAGCACTGAACTCTAAAAGGAGCAACACTCTCACAGGTCTCCATGTGGATCTGCAACCCAGACTTTTAATTTCATATCCAAGCTGTGACGGTAAACGAAGCCATTTTCAAATAACCAAGGACTCAAAATCAATCCACTGATCAATAGATTTCTTCAAAAACTACCAGGAGATGAGCTTACAGTAGGAAGAGAAGAAAACGGTCAGACTGAAAACAGAAGCCAACCCAGAAGAGCGCTAACAAAAAGTTCTAGGACAGTGGTTCTCAACCTTCTGGCCCTTTATTTTTTATTTTATTTTAAATATATTTTATTGATTTTTTTTAAAGAGAAGGGAGGGATAGAGAGCCAGAAACATCGATGAGAGAGATCAATCAGCTGCCTCCTGCACGCCCCCCAGTGGGGATGTGGCCACAACCAAGGCACATGCCCTTGACCGGAAGGAATCGAACCTGGGACCCCTGAGTCTGCAGGCCAACGCTCTATCCACTGAGCCAAACCGGTTCAGCCCTTCTGGCCCTTTAAATACAGTTCCTCATGTTGTGACCCAACCATAAAATTGTTTTCGTTGCTACTTCATAACTGTAATGTTGTTACTGTTATGAATCGTAATGTAAATATCTGATATGCAGGATGGTCTTAGGCGACCCCTGTAAAAGGGTCGTTCGACCGCCAAAGGGGTCTCGACCCACAGGTTGAGAACCGCTGTTCTAGGACAACTGAGGAGTAGCAGAGTGCCAGGGTCTGGGGAAAATAAAAGGATCAATTCCTTTAAACCTGTGGGAAAATACAACCTACCGCTGTGACGTGCTGGAGCTTTGAGGAAAATATTGACAACTGGCAAAGGAAATCAGGCTCCCGGCCGGGTAGCTCCGTTGGCTAGAGTATCATCCAATATACCAAGGTTGTGGGCTTGAGCCCCAGTCAGGGCACACACAAGAAGCAACCAGTGAGTTCACAAAAAAGCAAAACAACAAACCCAAGTCTCTCTCTTGAATCGATATATAAAAATTAAAAACCAAGCTAACGGAAAAGATGAAGACATTAATTAGCGCCCTGGCTGGTTCGGCTCAGTGGATAGAGCATGGAGCTGCAGACTGAAGGGTTGCAGGTTCAATTCCGGTCAAGGGCACATGCTGGGGTTGCGGGCTTGATCCCCAGTAGGGGGCGTGCAGGAGGCAGCCAATCAATGATTCTCTCTCATCATTGATGTTTCTATCTCTCTTTCCCTTCCTCTCTGAAATCAATAAAAATATATTTTAAAAAAGACATTAGCTTTGGGGGGAGGGGGGAATGAACAGTACAGGAAAAGCAACACAGATGAACATGTTAGTTGCCTTAATACTGAACAATATTTTCAGTCTCAGAAACAGAACTGGCCCTGGCTGGGTAGCTCGTTGGTTAGAGCACTGCCCGGATTGCCTCCCCCGTCAGGGCACTTACAAGAATTAAACAATAAATGCATACATAAGTGGAACAACAAATCGATGTTTCTCTTTCCCCCTTTCTTGCTCTAAAATCAATCAATAAAAAAATTAGTAATGAAAACAGAACTAATGATTTGACGAGCGCGCATGACATAAAGTTTATGTTACATCCAGGTATGGAGGGTGAAGTTGGCGTGGATGGGCGGGGGGCAGAAATCAGACCGCATCGATCACAGTAGAAGCCAAAAGGCTGAGTGTAAAAGCGACCCGTCCAGAAAGCCGCAAAGGCCGGCGTGAAGCTGTGCGCAGCGGCGTCCCCTGGGGCCACGGAGGATGCAGGGATGAGTGACAGCTTTATGAACAGGCTATTGTCTCCTTCAACAGGGCAAACGGATGATTAACCTCGGGAACTTCTCCCCTCGGTCCGCGCTGCCACGGGGCAGAGGAAAGAACGGTCCTGGCATCTCGGTCTGGCCGGGAGGGAAGTCGTTAACCCCGGAGCCTCGCTGGCGGAAAGGCCGGCTAGCGGGGGCACTCGGTCCTCAGGACCCTATTTACTCTTTAGCTAGAATCCGTGACCGCCCTTACCCCATGCCAGGTAGCGACCCTGAGGCTCGGCGGAGCCGTGTGACTCTCGGGCGACAAAGCCAGTCAACTAACGGTCGCAACCTGGTGCTCACACAGGTCCTCGGTTACACGGGCGGCGCCCTGTGAGTTAGGACCCCGACACGATCTCAGCGGGTCTTGGAGAGATTCAAGCGGGCGGTGGGGCGCCAGGGACACAGAGGCCCGACATTCCTGAGTGGGCGACGCATCCGCCCGCCCTCAGCCGCGCCGCAGGCGCCCTTCGCTCACGTTTGGTCCCTTCCAGGGAACTCCGGGCCACGGGGCCGCCGCTCTCGCCTCGTTCCTCACCTGCACCCGAGGCCGCGATCTGGTCGCCTTTCCACCCGCCACGGCCACTACGACTTCGTTCAGCGAACAAGCGCGGCCTAAGGAAGCACTTCCGGGGCAAACAGGGCGGGACCTCCCTTGTGCGCAAGTTCCGCCCGCCCAGGAGCGTAGGCCAGACACTCGGAAAGTGCGAGGGAAGAGGAGGGGTTGAGAATGCGGGCCGGAAGCAAAAGTGCGCATGCCCACGAGGCTCAACAAAAAAACAAAACACACACAAAAAACACACCACGAACTAAAAAACACCACCTCTCAGTCAGTCTAACTCGCGCGAGGCCAGTTATCGCGGGAAGGAGGGCTGGGACTTGCCCTCCTCGGCCTGTTCCGGTCCATTTCAGTAGGGATGCTTACTTTCCAACCCGGCTCCAACTTACTGTATGGTTACAGAAAATGACCGTGGTGTCGCCCGCTGTCCCCTACGCCCGGCGAGGGCGCCACTCTGTGTGCCCCACTCCCACCCCCGGGACGCTAGTGCCCCTCCCGGTGATGGACAGGTTGAGAGGTCTGGGAAGCGCAGGCGCAGTAGCTTCGGAAGCGCTTCCGGGACGGCGCTGTGGAACTTTTTTGGCGCGAGTGGGGGGCGGCGGCCGGGAAATCGCGGTCCGCACTCCGCGTTCTGGGTCCTGGGCCGCCATGCGCTACAACGAGAAGGAATTGCAGGCGCTGTCCCGGCAGCCGGCTGAGCTGGCAGCCGAACTCGGCATGCGAGGCCCCAAGAAGGGCAGCGGTGAGTGGGGTAGGGGCTGTGAGCCGGGGACCGGGCGGACGGGGGTGCCGGTCGGGGCGGGATGGGCGGTCGCCGAGCCCGCGAGAGCCCGCCCTGTGTCCACAGTGGTGAAACGGCGGCTGGTGAAGCTGGTAGTCAATTTCCTCTTCTACTTCCGGACCGACGAGGCCGAGGTAGGGCGGCGGGAAGGCGGGCCCCGGGCTGGGGTTGGGGAGCTGGGGTCCCCGGACGGCCCGCCCATCCGGCTCGTCTGCCCCCAGCCCGTCGGAGCTCTCCTGCTGGAGCACTGCCGAGTCACCCAGGAAGAGCCCAGCGGCTTCTCCATCAGTGAGTGCGGGGGGCGGGGACCCGGCAGGCGGGGACCCGAGCTCCGCTCTGCCCCTCCCCATAGACGAAGTCCGCGGTCCGGGCAGGGCTGCGCTTCTCCCCTTTGCCACCGCCAAGGCCACCAGGGTTTTCATTTCTGTCGGCGAGCACTGTCCTCTCGGGGTGCCTCTCCCGAGACCCGGGGAGCACCGGTTCTCAGTGCCCGGCTGGGGATCCTAGAGGATTATCCGAGTCACCTTGAGAGGATCGGGTCTGCAGGGAAAGGCAGAACTTTTCGTTTTCTGGAGTGGCCTTAACGTAGTGCCACAGACTGAGGCTTCAGCAGCAAAAACGTACTTCTCCCAGTGCTGGAGGGTAGAAGTTCGGGGTTGGGGTGTCTGCAGGACTGGTTCCTTCTGAGCGGGGAACCATGCTCTCCCAATTTCTGGAGGCTGTTGGCAATCTTGTAGAAGTGTCACCCTGATTTCTGCCTCCATAGTCCCGTGGCCTTTTCCCTGCGTGTCTGTGTCCAGGTCTCTCCTTTTTTTTATAAAGACACCAATCCCACCCCACTCTAGTGTGTCCTCACCTTAACTAACTATACCTGCAACGACCTTGTACCCAAATAGGCTGTTCCCAGGTTCCAGGAGTGAGGTTTTGAACATACTCTTTTGGGAGATACAGTCTCTAGCCTGTGGGAAGCGGTGAACCCAAGCTGGGTCTAGAGGAGGGGACAGTTGTGGACAGTGGCAACAGGAGGCTGAGGCCGGTGGCCAGCATGGCTGGTGGTGGGAGTGAGCAGGGACAGATGGGCCCCTTCCTCTGCAGGTTTCATCGAGGACCCGGAAAGGAAGTATCACTTTGAGTGCTACAGCGAGGAGCAGTGTCTAGAGTGGATGGGAGCTCTGCGTCGAGCCAGGTAGGGTGTGGGGTACATCCTGGCCTGGGGGCCTGGAGCAGGGGCAGAGCTGGGCCCTGTGAGCACAGGCCACTTCCTTTCCCAGCTACGAGTTCATGCGTAGGAGCCTCATCTTCTACAGGAACGAGATCCAGAAGATGACTGGCAAGGTGTGCGTGGGGCACGGGAAGTGGTGGTGGGGGGAGAGCTCCCGGGCCAGAGCTCATGCTACCCGTCCATCACACAGGACCCCCTGGAACAGTTCGGCATATCGGAGGAGGCCCGGTTCCAGCTGAGTGGCTTGAAGGCATGAATCTGGGGGTTAGGCTTGGGCTCCTCAGCTTGACTCACCGAGGCCCAAAGGAGCCCTCCCTACCTCGCCCGGCCCTGGGCTTCCGGGCCAAGCCTGGATTTCAGAGTGAGGTGTTCAGTAGCCCCAGGCTGGTGCGGGTGGGCAGAAGCTGTGCCTTGGGACCCATCATACTAGTCCAGCACCTCTCAGTGCCACATGCTGCTGCTAGAGGGCGAGTACACACTCCCAGGAGCTGTGCTTGCTTCCTCGGGCTCACCCATCTAGGGCCTGGTGGGCTCCCGAAGCTGGTGCAGCTCTCTTGCCCTGTACAGGCTGAATGTACAAACCGAGATAATGCTGTGAAGGGCTCGGGAGCCTTGCCTTCTGGGCTGCTGTGAATTCTGCTGAGGGCCAGGGCCCGGCCAACACCTCTGGGCAGAGCTAGAAGCATTTGCCCTTGGGCTGGTGTACTCGTTCTGTTCAAATAAAGGTACCTCTTTTCTACACGGGACAGTGGTGCAGTGAATGCAAAAAGGGGCGTGTCCTCCACAGGCTGGTGGAGCTGGTTTCCAAGGGAAGTAGGGTTCCTGGGGGACAAGAGGTTCTCTTTAGGCCTGAGGTTCAAGTGCCTGGGAGGAAGGGGTGGGCCATCCAAATTGAGGGGAGAGGACACAGAACCTAGAGCCTAGAACAGCGGTTCTCAGCCTGTGGGTTGCGACCCCTTTGGGGGTCGAATGACCCTTTCACAGGGGTCGCCTAAGACCATCGGAAAACACATATAATTACATATTGTTTTTGTGATGAATCACTATGCTTTAATTATGTTCAATTTGTAACAATGAAAGTACATCCTGCATATCAGATATTTACATTATGACTCATAACAGTAGCAACATTACAGTTATGAAGTAGCAACGAAAATCATTTTATGGTTGGGGGTCACCACACCGTGAGGAGCTGTATTAAAGGGTCGTGGCATTAGGAAGGTTGAGAACCACTGTTTATATATGTGTTTTCCGATGGTCTTAGGCGACCCCTGTGAAAGGGTCGTTCGACCCCCAAAGGGGTGGCAACCCACAGGTTGAGAACCGCTGGCCTAGAAAGTCAGGGAGGCTGGGAGCCCAGCTCAAGGGCCCTGAGGGAGAACGGGTGGGTGATGGGACCCTCAGATGGCCCGGGATCCCACCTCCGGTCACAGGCTGATTCTTTGAGTGCAGGCAGGACCTTGCACAGGGTTTGGTTTTTCATCGAAGTGCCGTCTCTGGTGGGGAGGAGGCCTGACCTAGTCAGATAGGTCTCCCCGAGGTGGGCACTCACTGCCAAAGCCACAACAGCTGCTTTTGGGGCTGTGGGGCCTCTGCTGGGAGTGACCATTCTCCACACATGGAGCCCTCAAGGTCCTCTAAGGTCTCACCATGTGAGAAATGCCAGCAGACCAGGTTCAAGTGAAAACAAACATTTTATTACAGTCTGGAGATGGAAATCAGAGTACAGTGGGGTTCCCTTGGGAAAAGAGGGTCAAACCAGCAACCCCAAGTGAAACACAGTCTACCAGAAGGACAAAGCAGGGCTGGTCTGAGACACAAGACATAAGCCAGCATGGATGGACCGTGGGAATGGGGGCGGGGGCGGGGTGGATGAACAGTCTCCTTCGGACTTCGTGGATAAATAAAAGGGTGAGCGGGTCTTAAATAAATCATAAGTCATAGCTGGAAGGGAAGGCTGGCTCCTGACCGGAGGGTCTTCAGAGTTAGGTTTTCCTGAGCAAAGCACCCTCATAGCCCTGGGCTTCCCTGAAGTTGCCCGGAGTCAGCAGCACTGGTCTCTGCCCAGAGACTAGAACCTGTCCTCCACAGAGGGATGGTTGTTCATGCACCCCGCCCCACTCCTTCGCTGCCCTCCCCACGCCCTCACTGCCAACAGCGGCTGATCAGTCTCACAGTAGGAGGGCTGGAGGGTGCACAGAAAGGAGACCCCAGCGCTTGGGCAGACATGGTTGTGTGGGGAACACAGATACAACACGTCAGTAGGAAGTCCTGCACGGTGGCACACAGTTATCACGGAAGTGATGCAGTGTTTACAGGGTTGCTTGATTCCAGACCAGGGACTTGCTACATGCTGCAACTTTGCTACTGCTAACCCTGTAGCTTTTTTAGGGAGCCCTGTGCTGGAGAACGGGATTGCAGGATGTGGGGTGAGCACAGCACCTTCATGTGCCAAGAGCACAGACCTGGAGGTAAGGGAGCCAGGGCAGCAGTTACAAGACAGCCAGTTATGAGAACCTGTCTAAGCACCATCTACAGCCTGACGATGGCTCTGGGCCAGGCATCACCCCTAGTACACAGGGCTCTACCAGGACGCACCCGAGGAAATTGGGGAGTCAACAGCCAGGCCTGTTCTGCACCCTTTTGGGCCTGTGTTCCACAAGGCCACTGCCCACCCCCCAGAAAAGCTGGCTCCAGCCCTGCCTCCAGTTATCAGGAGGAGTGAGCCCAATCCAGGCTTGCCACATCAGCCCTCCCAGGCAGGCCACGGGCCCTGGCAACCACATCTGGAAGGATGGGCTGTGCTGGCCAGACTGGGGAAGGTAGGAACTTGAGGCTTTTCTTGGGTTCCCATGTTCCCTGATGGTGCCATCATGGGGACAAGCACCAGAATAGCAGGGCTCTGACTGAACCAATCTAAGCCTGAAAGCACCCCCTGCTGGGGGTCCAGGCCCTGCTACCAGCCAGGACCTTTGGCTGATGGCCCTTCCAGAGGACTGAGGGCTTCTGGACACACCCTTTCAGGGAAAATGCACAAACACTGTTCAACTGAGACCCAGGACTGTTAGAGGCTGCAGCACTGGGGGGACCCGATAACCCTGTTGGCAACTTCTAGAAGCATCAGAACAGCTCTCCTGCCCTCATGTGAAGCCGGCCTTTGCCCTCATTGCTTACCCACAGTGCATTCATTCCCAAGCACCAGGGAGGCTGCTCCAGGCGTGGGGGCAGGTGTCAACCCAGCTGTGGCATTAAAGGGCCACGGAGCAGCAATACAGACTGACCAAGGGGATGTGGGCGCTTTGGCCCTGGGCCAATGCCACTTGTATGCACTTGAATAAATAAAAAGGTTTTTCCCCCTCACTTTTTTTTTACATTTACTGTGCATTATACAATCTAAAAATAAATGAAGTCAAGTCTATGAAATTTATAAATTTTCATCACATCTCTATAAAATACTGTCACTCGTCAGCGTGACTCTCTTCTATACAGACACACCAGGCACCCATGGCTAACCTGCCCCATGCCCCGGCCAGTGCCTTGCTTGACTGCGCAAGCCCGAGACAGTACAGACATACAAAGTAAAGCACTTGCTCCCCAGCAGCCCCACATTGGAGTCAAGTACCAGACCTGCCCCATGAGCACCACTCACAGCAGCCCTCCTCCGTGCAACATCCAGAGGCCGCCCACTGGCCCTTCCTCACCAAAAGGCGCCATCCCTGGGACCAGGGCTGACAATCTGGCTGGAGCGTTCACAGTGAAGGGGTGGGGCAGAGGGCCTTTTCTGAAGGGCATTAAAAACCAAGCGAACCACCCTTGACCAGGAGATAGGCATGCCTTTGGTATGGGAGAGCTTGGGGATGACAGGGCAGGCGCATCAAGGACTGGTTTTGGCGTTGGTCAACCTCGAGTCAGCACCAAGAGAACGTGGAGATGGCAAGGCCTGGCGACGAGATAGCACCGGGCCCGGCTGTTGGAGTCTCTGCTGGCGGGCCAGTCCGTCCGGTCGATATCTTTATATAGATCCTCTCATATATAGTATTTACATTTCTTAATAGGTTGCCTTTATGACTTCGGTGGAATAAGTCAAAATTGTTTATACTTTTTAAAAAACGATAAATATTTTATCTAAAACTATTGACAGTATAAGCTGGAGCCAGGCCCAGCATCTCCCGCAGGTCTGCGCAGCGTGGACTCAGAGCAGAGCCTCGTCCTCGGTCCATCCCGCCATCTGGTCGGCCACCAGCCCTGCAGCCCACCTATCCTTGCACAGGTCTCGAGGTTGAGGTAGAAATCCTAGTTACCTGCAGAGACCGGCGCAGGAGGAAAGGCAGCACAGTGTTAGCATCTCACTGGGAGAGGCCCATACATCCCCAGGCTGGGAACCAAAGCCTATAGACAGATGGATGGACAGAAGGAACTTTGTTGCAAACAACGCCCTGCCATGCCCCTGGTTCAGTCAGAGGTGGGAGGTCACCAGCCCAAGGCCTTTCATGGGGCGCTGGGTCCCGGCCTCCTCACCTCCCTGGTCGCCGGATGCCAGCTCATGGGGAGTGAGCAGGAGGTGTACCTGTGGGCAGCCCCACTGACAGGCCTGCATGCCCCAGCAGTGAGGCCATCACTGTCCAGCCTAGGGAGACCTGTGATGGGCCTGGATAAGATGGAAGGCAGGTGTCCGCTGTGGGTCAGGACAGGGAGCCTGACACCCAGATGCTTCCTCGTGTATATCTTTGACCTCTTCAAGCCAGTGCCTTCTCTGACAGCATGAGGACACTGTGAGCTGGAGCCACCCTACCTTCCAGACTTTTCCATTGGGACTGAGGCACTACCAGAAGGCCATCAGACTCCTGCAGCCTCATGTCTATTTCCACTTAAACACATGCAGATGGCCAAGGAGAGCAGGCAGACCTCATGCCTGGTCCTCAGTGCCAGTTAGCACCTAGCTTGATCCTGGAGTACTCACCCCATAGGCTGTGGACTTGCCCAGAAAGGCCCTTTGCCCTACCAGCAGTGGCTGAGTCAGCTGCTCCAGGGCCCCAACACCCTCACAGCCAGCAAAGGAGCAGATGGCCTTCCTGCAGGCCTCATAGGCACCTTCCTTACCCCATTTCCAAAGTCAGGCCCTTCCTACACTGTTCTCTGACTCCACACTGACATCGAAATCCTTGAGGGCCAGAGGAGCACCAATCACCTGCCCAAGCAGCCCTTCCTGTGGCTGTGCTATGCTCATCCCATTTCCCACAGGCCTCTGGTGCATGTGGGTTGGGCCTGCACAACCATCATCTTCTGAAGGCCAGCCAAGTACCAGAGGCCTCAAATGCATAAAAATTTCCTAAAACCATGAGGTACATTCAATAAAACAGGCTGAGAGAAGCCTAAGAGTGGGCAAACAGCAACACTGAGATTCAGAGCTGCCCCAACGGCCCACACTGGGTTTTCCTGGGTTCCTGACAACTGCAGACATGCAGCCAGAGGGTGGCAGCAAAATGGAGCTGGACTGCACAGCCAGGACCCTGGCCGCATCCACCTCCTGGTCCCCTCCATGCAGGACTTAATGCAGTACCCTGCCTGCCCAGCCTGCAGGGCCTCCCTGATCTGCTATTTCTTTGGCCTGGAGCACTGTGGGACCTGGTGGGAAGGTCCAGTGGGCACCAAGGGATTGGCCACTCCCCTCCTGAACTCTGTGGTGGAACACAGGCTGCACTCAGACGTCAATATGCATGGCTGCCACGGTCTCCCTTCCCGCC